CTCGAAGCCCCCCACGACTTCGAAGATGTTGCACAGTTCTTGTCGAGAATTCCGCAATGCGCCGCCCGCCCTCCCCCTGCTCACACATGTTCTGCAAAAGTCATGCAACCGCGACACGTTCAAAAAGCTCTATCATCCTGCGCCATCCTAGAGTGATTTGCCTGGCAGAATATGTATGGTGAGTTTGACCTTTGGCTCTGCTAATGCTCTATGAAGTCACTGATCTCAGCGGTACAAGAGCCTCTGGTTTCATGAGTCTTCGAAATCAGGCGCACATATGGAATCTCCACGTCCATGAAAATGGCTCGGATGGATACTCATGTACGTTCGCCATGCACCTCTATCCGCTTACTCCTCTCCTCGATGTTTCAGACAAGGAGTCGCACCGGATCGTGCTCAACGAGCGGTTTTAGCGGTTGCAGCGCTATGGTCCTTTCGCGCAGCACACCCTGTTCAGCTAGCCGGGTGCTGGATACACTCTGAGTGGAGATAGGAAGCTCATCATCTCGCATGGCTGGCTACGGAGAGGACATGTCCATGTCGGATCGATTTGGACTGTGGTATCTGGCCTCTGCTGTCCATCTTTGACTGGGCGATAGGCGGAACCAAGGATGAAGGCGCCAAATTCACGGTTGGAAAAATGGTATCTGCATATGCAGGAATCGGTATGTTTACCCTCTCCGTGGTAGACTGTTCTACGATGATGAACGATGAAGTTCTCGCTTGATTTCTTTCAGTGTCGCCCGGACGGGCGAAGGCCCTCCAATCGACCCGATTGACGAGGTTCTCTGAAGGACCGTCTATGACCTCCCGATGGGCTAATCAGGTATGGGGGTGGGACCGCTTCAAACGATAAGGTGGTGGGTACCGTCCCCGGCATCGTCCCCTTTCAACTTTGCCAAGTATACCTCTCGAAGGGCCGACTGTGTATGCATTACACCTTTGCTAGGTGTTGGGGTGTAATCATGCATGGTGCCAGTCCTGCCGAAGGCTCTGTCGGTGCAGCGTGGTATTGTAGTCATAGCAATGTACCTTGCCCGTCTACCTACCCGAGAGAAGAGCGAGGGTTCGTGATCGGATCATGCAACCCATAACATCGATTCACTACGCGGCATACCAGCGACATTGGCACAGACCTCACAACCGCCCTCGGAAAGGAATCTGGAAGAAATGTTCGTGTCCGAATCTATCTGCATGTGAGCATGCTGACGACGACTTCCTCCATTAGCTGTATCTGAATCTCACGCCGGTCGCGTCATTACACCACCTCATCGAAATGGCCGAATCAATGAAGTTGTGTGCGGACGTGTCGCCCCGTCTCGTCGTGCGTGGCCCGTTGTGTTTGGAAGCGAGCTGTGAATGCGGTAGCGGGCTTGACGGAAACGAACAGATTGCGTTGGAGACGCAGTGGCCGCATTCCGACACTCCGTGTGAGGTAAACCGACCCGCAATGCGAGGTCTCCGCTCTCTGGTCGTGCGGAGTACGTGTCTCGTTGCTGGGGGTCATGTACGTGCTCACATTCTCGTTTGGAGTACATACAGTGCCGACGTGAAGAACCCTGCGAATGGTGAGCAATTTGCTACGTCGGTCCCAACCTCTCGACACGAAAAGACACACGGGTTCCTTGAGGAGACCTCAAGCTGTAGGAATGTAGCAAGGAGTGCGGCGTTGACCGTACTGCTATGCAACGTTGGCAATGTCTTCATAGTCCTATCACCAGGCTAACGCACAATCGTACAGGTATACGCGAACAATCTCCGCAAGGCAATCAAAGCGGCGGAACAGGAAGCAAAGGAGGGAGTCAAAAGTGCAAGGTATGTTCTGATAGTCCTCATGAGCCCTTCTATTCATCATCGCTCGTCCATAGAACCTGTGAAACCTACCATTGCTCCCTCTGCCGCCCATCGTACTGGAGGCACACAGCGCGTGACTTACGCCCATATCAGCTGGACGAACAAGTACTCCTGAGGCAAGAATGGAGGTCCCGAGAGTGGCAAGGGTATGTCATGGTCGCAGCTTTGCGTACTTCTGCGGCAGCGCACAGCCGGCGACCCCAACTACCTCTTGATTGCGGAGGTGCTCTGCGATGGTGTTCCCCCGACTCGGCCAAATGTTCCGGTATGTGGGACTGGACCAGGCCTTATGCCTACGTACTGCGTACTCATTAACTAGCCTGCCTCATTGTACATTCCTGATAGGTCCGTCCATGCGCCTCGACAAGCCGTGCGCGCGACTCTGCGCCGACCCGCGCGACCTCGGGGAACTCGATCTTGCACCAGCATGCGTGATTCCCGCACGATTGTGAGGAACGTCTGCCTGCATCGACACGCGCAACCTACGAAGACGCGTGCGTGCGACGACCCGACATTGCGGTGCGTGGTTGCGCTGCTAGGCAAGCTCTCTCGTGCAGCGGCTGACGCTTCCTCGTAGAGCAGACGCCCGTTGAGCAATTGGCAAAATCGTCGGTGCGAACTCGCTCATTAGAACGGCGGCGCACCAGAGAATGGGTCCGGGGCATCGTCCTCTCGGGTTGGATGCGTGTCTGGTACAAATCATCCAAGACGCATCGCTAATAGGATGAGTCACTACAAGTGCGCCATTACCTGTCAATTCTGAAGACTCGCCCCGGCACTCAACGATGAATCTCTTCCCTCAGGTGTTTAGCATACGTGCATAACGTGTTCTGTAGTCACTGTGCGACACAACAACAACGCATCGAAAGCATTCGCAGCGCGGAATCCGCGCTATGCTTCGCGGTAGTGTAAAACGTATGACGGGGACCTCCGCGCGGGAGGTGTCCACACAGTGCTGGACGCGAACCGAAGCCCTGCAAACACAATACGGGTCGTACAGTCCTGGATACGCGCGGAGCAGTTTCCACGAAATCCATAGCAGCGTTCGATGTCGCGCCGTGAAGATTCGGTCGTCGCCGTCTACCTGTCGAGGTTGAGCTTCCAATGAGGCGGGCGCTCGTTCAATTCGACCACCTTGCCGCCGCCCAGTCTACTCACACACATACCTACACATCCTCTCAACAGGTTCGCATGCGCGATGCCGCTTAGTCCAGAGTCTCGAAGTGTACGTCCCGAAGTAAACGTCTCCCATCCTCCGGCTAATGCAATATAGCTGCTACTGTCCATATTCAAGGGCGAGCCCAATGCGCGCTGCGTTTGGGAATGGCGGGACTTCCTCAAGGTGAGCGGTGCCTTCGTTACAATGCGGCCATACCCAGATCACCGGATAGGCCATGTCGGAGCTTGATTTCGACGTAGAGCAAGTCGACGGCGTGGTGTTCCGGTTCAAGGCCCCAGATCGTTGGCAAAACCAAGTGCTTGTCCTCCACATGGTGAGTGACATCCCACTATCTCTTCCGACGGGCTACTCAACGTCTCCTGCGTACCAAGAACCACAAACGTCTGTTGGAGAAGAGTTTTCAGAACCGGTCAGTTAGGCGTACTGTTCGTTATCAGGCTACTAACGTCATTCCATAGCTTGGCAGGCCGTCTAGCTCGCAAGTTCGGATGGTGCGCGGCCACGTTCCGAGACGCTGCAGGCAACACGTTGTGACGAAGCGTAGCTACACTCCGTGAATTTGCTCAATAGACCCCGTATATTAGCAAGTGGTTCGCCCCGTGTGCACGTATTTTCGTGATTCAAGGCAATGTGCGTACGTGCCTATCATTTATTCCAGCGCTCCGTCATCCCTCGAAGACGATGTTTATATCCAAGTGGGACACATCTTGCTTGAGGCTCGACCTCGCCCCTGTTCCCTCGTTGGAACGTTACGGCCATGTCCCTTGGTGCGACCGCGCATCACTCAGCGATACTGAGAATGCTTCAAACTCAACCACAGTTGCGGCATTCGTGGTTTGTTGGCCCAGCGAAGGTGAGTACGGTCCTTCGCGTTCATGGACCTCAGATCATGCAATGCGCTCTTCACAGATCCACGCCTTCATCAGTTGCGTCGTACCTCCAGGATCGCCCACGAATCGTCCACGAATCTCCTACGAGTCTGCTACGAATCCTGGCGATCGGAATCATGGTCTTGCTGCACAATCGTATCTCAATACCGTACTCGCCGACTGAGCGCCATCAGCACGACTGCGTAGGGAGGCCCTTTCGACTTCATTTCTAACGAGTAGTCTGCGCGGCGGATGCCTCGGCCGTGCTAGTGGCTCCTCCTGCTGCAATGACCGCCGCATGTCGCTGTTGTCGAACAAGTCTCGACTGCATCCCGCCGATGTCGCGTTGGCTGCATAGCGCGTCTACTTGGGACATGTACGTCCCCGAGGCCAGATCCATGAGCACGTTGGTGACCGCCCTTGCTGGATTCGCATGCGCTTTTGATGATATCCGCCGTGATTCCTACTCAGAGTCGTGTCCGATTCTGCGAAGAGGACATTCAAACTGTTCTCAAAACAATGTCTGGGATCCAAACATGCTAAGGACATCGAGAGGAATGAAAATATGATTTGGCCTTGCATTTGTCTGAGAAATCCCGAAAACATCCGGAAGACATAATTTATATAATCAGTATGGTGATTTCATGACATAGCTCGGGACTTTGAAGAGACATTGAGAATGCTGCTGCAATGTCACAAGTCGGAAACATATATGGGACATTTGGATATCATTTAGTTCGGTTCCCCGTGTGGACACGCCAAAGACATTGCGCAAACATTTATAATGCTGTCCGGACATTTTGAATGTTCTGGGTACGGACATCGGGAAAACCATTAATACTGTTTCTTACGTGTTTTGGTCAAAATAATACTCCCAGCACTTCAAATGTGCTAGGCATGTTTTTTGAATGCCGCCATTGCAATCATTCAACAAACACATCGTATGTAATCTCGATGACTTTCCCGGAACCATATGCACAACATAGAGCCGTCATTTTCATTGTCCTTTAGCTGTACTCCGCATGTCTCGAGTCCGACAATGCTAATCACAATTTTTCACTCATTAGCATGTATTCAGCATGTCCTGGGCAAAAACATGGGAAAATGCCCGCGGTGATTCGAACCCACGCCCTTTCGGACCAGATCCTTAGTCTGGCGCCTTAGACCGCTCGGCCATCTCGCCTTAAAAACGACCCACAATCTAGCGTACACCTGGCGCGGGGTATTCACGGGTACGGTGCTGCGCTACTAAAAGCTATTAATTTGCCATGATCCTGGAGTCGTCGGGGTACAGATTTACATATCAGCTATAGCTAGCTACTGGTCTATGATGTGAACAGTGCCAGAGTGAACGTCCTCTGCATACACGAACATTGCGAAGGGTTGTTATTGCACGCCCGAAAAAAGGCCAATGTTACAGTCTGTACATCACCGCTCACCATCAGGTCTTGCCGTGTGTCAGTACGGTGCCTGCAGCATCTGGACCACCATATCCCTCTGTATCCCAGGGCATAGCAAAACGTTACTGGCCACAGCAGTTAGCTGCCAAAAGCTACAGGCGCTACCAGGGCTCGAACCTGGGTTTTGGGAACACTCTTCAGAATCCCAAGTGATAACCACTACACTATAGCGCCGTTGCCGGCTATTGCATTACGGAATTATACATTTTTTAGGAGGCCTACTTTACGGTGCTGAGAATGGGCCCCATTCGACGAGTACGAACTCGTCCAAAACGCCATCGTCGCTCCTACGAGGCTTGCGCAGCGAGGATGCAACGCGTTTCCAAGCCTGGACAAGGGCGCGATGCAACTTGTACCGCAGGTAGCGTACGCGCCGACGCTTTCGCGGGCTGCGAAGCTCTTCGCTGGTAGTAGAACACGACGGATATTGTGAGATGATTGCTGACGGTCAGAATAAGATACACGTACGATGAGCAATTAAGGAGGATGCCAAGTCCATCGCCGGAGTGTGGCCTCTGCCGTATTCCAAAGTCGTCGTACCGTAGGAATCCGGAGGTGTCCACTTCCTCTTCGTTGGCATCCGTACATGTCGTGGCGATAGATGCGCGAATGGGAGCGCGCCGGGAAACGCGACGGGAGACTCGCGTCGTCCCGAATATATACACAGTGTCATGAGGGGTCGTGACTGAGGGCGGGTTGGTCATGTCGGTCGTCTGGTGTCGCGTGGAGATACAGAGGGTTGGGAGTGAAGATGAGGGGCGCCGCGTGGGGCGTGTGCACACAGACGCAGCACGGCGGGAGGATAGCTATAAGGCTTTACAACAAAGGCATTGAGACAATCGGCGAGCTATGGGAGCCCGGCGCTTCATAGCTCCGCCCAGCATAGTCAAGCCGGCCACACGGACAACCATGGAGCGGACACAGCGGAGCAAGCAGTAGTTGCCTAGATATATCACTAGAAGACCGAGATAGACTAGAGCCTCCAGCAGACAAAGGTGCTATCAATATGCTTCCACGCGTTGATTTGGTCATCGAAGGGATTTGCTGCTGTTGGGCCTATTGTGGGCAGAGAGCCAATTGACGAATGTTCTGGGCCGACGAAAGCGGTCAAAAGAGCACAAAGTACTCACCAAGGCTGCATTCGGCACACTGGACCGCTCACCTTTCCAGGAATGACGAACAACACGCCGGGATGGGAGCCACGCTTACCTGTACGTTGGGTAAGTAGGTCAAAGGGCATGCGACGCGTGCCCATGTCGTGCAGCATCCAACGGGGAAATCCAGACACGAGGTTGCACTGTGGAAGATATTGCGAGAGGCGGTGAGCGCAAACGGCAGAACGTAGAGACCTAGCGGCAGCCCGACGAATGAGCCCTGAGCCCGATGTTTGAAGCTGGAGACGGAACTGGCCCAAAAGATTGGCACGGTCGAGTGGGACGAGGAGAAGAGAGATTCAGAAATCAAAGGCGGAGGGATGGTGAATCGGTGATGGTGATAAGCACGTGGCCGATATAAAGTAGCAGATCAAACTCAGCCAAAATTTTGGCACTCTTGATCCTCGCGCCCGGCGCTCCTCCAAAAACCCATCTTAACCAGGATCCCTCTCCTCCCCCTCCCTCTCTCCGTTCTTTCATCTGGTTTCTGCGGTCATGGATGTACGTTCAGATCTCCGTATCCTGTCTTTGGCGCGTATTAATCGCAAAATCACAGCCTTCCTTTGTGCAGAACCTTCACGCTCTCCTGGTCCAGTCGACCTCTAATGATACCGTGCAGCTGAAGGCGGTAAGTACCCAAATCGCCCTCGATCACCATCGGAGGAGGACGTCTGACATGAGAGGACGTGTAGGCAACCGCCCAGCTCAACCGGGAGTTCTACAAGAACCCGCTTTGCATCCCCGCGCTCACGCAGATTATCGCGGAATCACCAGAGCAAGCGGTGAGTAATCAGTTCCTCCAATCTTCCCCTCTACCATGTCGGGCGCTGTGAAGCAAGTGCAAACCGTGTGAGGGGCAACCCGGTTTGACGGGAAGAAGTTGCTCTTTGTGTTGCAGACATTGTGTGTGCACAAGGAGTGATCCTTTACGCCAGTCAGGATAACTTGCCCGCTTGACCGTCTCATCCGCTCAATCCCGCACATGCTCACAGCCAATGCTGATACGAACGTCTCTAGGTCCGTCAACTCGCGGCCGTTGAGCTCCGTAAACGCGTATCCCAAAAAGATGGCGACCTCTGGCTCCAGCTCGAAGCCGAGCAACGGGAACAGATTAAGGCCAAGCTGCCTGAGCTCGTCCTCTCTGAATCCAGGTATGCTACTATGAGTGTGAATCATAGTCAAACTGAAGCTGACGTCGGTGCAGCAACCTTGTTCGCCACTCTACTGCACGCGTGATTGCCGCCATCGCGTCCATTGAGATGCCTCTCGGTACCTGGCCTCAACTTCTGCCCTTCCTTGAGCAGACATGTCTCTCGGCTCAGGCTACGCACCGTGAAGTCGGCGTGTACATCCTCTTCACCATCCTCGAGAACATCGTTGAGGGCTTCGAGACCCACATCCAGAGCTTCTTCAAGCTCTTCGAGAAGCTGCTCCAGGATCCTGAGAGCGCTGAGGTCCGCATCACGACCGTCAGGGCACTTGGTGTTGTAGCGCAATACATTGATATTGACGACAAGGAAGACATCGTGAGTGATTCCCTGAGCGTCCAATGACCCGGATTTACTCATCGCCTTGCAGAAAACGTTCCAGAACCTGCTTCCTGGCATGATCAACGTTATCGGCCAGAGTGTGGAGAGTGGCAACGAGGCGGGTGCACGTCAGCTCTTCGACGTCCTCGAGACTCTCCTCATCCTCGAGGTCCCTCTCCTCGGCCAGCACATTCCCCAGCTTGCTGAATTCCTCCTCCGCATTGGTGGCAACCGCAACTACGATGCCGACCTCCGTGTCCTTGCGCTCAACGCGCTCAACTGGACCGTTCAATAGTAAGTCCCCGCGTTCCAGACCCCTTCCATGGATGTACTGACCTTTGCGTGTGTAGCAAAAAGTCCAAGGTTCAGTCCCACAACCTTGCGCCCGCCATCCTTGAGGGCCTCATGCCGATTACCACCGAGGAGGAGCCCGAGGACGTCGATGACGACGCCCCTTCGCGCTCTGCTCTCCGTATCATTGACTGCCTTGCCACCAGCCTGCCCCCCACCCAGGTCTTCCCTGCTCTCCGTCAGCTCATCCAGCAGTACTTCTCCTCTGCCGATGCCGGTCACCGCCGTGGTGCCATGCTTGCTCTAGGTGTCTCCGTTGAGGGCTGCAGCGAGTTCATGACGCCCCTCATGAGTCAGGTCTGGCCCATCATCGAGGCCGGTCTTCAGGATCAGGACGCGTCCGTGCGCAAGGCGAGCTGTGTTGCTGTCAGCTGCTTGTGCGAGTGGCTCGAGGAGGAGTGCGCGGCCAAGCACGCGTTCCTCGTCCCGACCATGATGCAGCTTGTCAACGACCCCGTTACCCAGCGCTCTGCGTGCACTGCGCTTGATGCGCTCCTCGAGATCATGCACGACGTTATCGACCAGTACCTCAACCTCATCATGGAGCGTCTTGTCGGCCTCCTCGACTCCGCCCCCATCCCCGTCAAGTCGGTCGTCATTGGCGCCATCGGCAGCGCTGCCCACGCGTCCAAGGAGAAGTTCTTGCCCTACTTCGCGCCCACAATGGAGCGCTTCAAGCACTTCCTCGTGCTCACCGGTGAGGGTGAGGAGCAGGAGCTCCGTGGTATCACCATGGATGCTGTTGGCACCTTCGCCGAGGCCGTTGGCAAGGAGCACTTCCGCCCCTACTTCCCCGACCTCATGCAGCAGGCGTTCAACGGCATCGAGCTCGGCAGCGCCCGCCTCCGCGAGTGCAGCTTCCTGTTCTTCGGCGTCATGTCTCGCGTCTTCGGCGACGAGTTCGCGCCCTACCTGCCCAACGTTGTCCCCGCTCTGCTCCAGAGCTGCAAGCAGGCCGAGCACGGTGAAGAGGAGCGCCTTGCGATCACGAACCCCGATATTGCGGCGAGCTTCGCGTCCGGTTCCGGCTCCTCGCCCGCGAACGCAATCGCGGTCACGGACGACTCTCACGTGACCGTTGACGACGACGACGCGCTCGACATGGACAAGCTTCTCGATGTGAACAGCACCATCTGCATCGAGAAGGAGATCGCTGCCGACACCATCGGCGCGCTCTTCGCGTCGACCCGCCAGCACTTCCTCCCGTACGTCGAGCAGTGCACCATTGAGCTTGTTGGCCTTCTGCCCCACTACTACGACGGTATCCGCAAGAGCGCTACCGACTCCCTCCTTGAGATTGTCCGCACGTTCTACGAGCTCAGCGAGCCTCAGGCATGGCAGCCCGGATTTGCCGTAAGTCATAATTTAGTGCATGGCTTGTTCTCTGGGTGCTTACTTGTATTCTCTAGAACGTCGCTCCTCTTGACCCCCGCGTTAAGGAGCTCATTGGCCACATCGTCCCTCCTCTGTTGGAGATGTACGAGTCTGAGGACAACAAGTACGTGCACACGTCTTCTGCTATGTTTTGAGTACTCCGTGTCTTCATCTACGGGATGAACCTCTGTGCATTCTATTTTGATGCCTCAAAGGCGGATGAGACCGGCCTAATTTCTTCCAACTGATGCCTCGTTCACTTTTGGTCCGTCGGATACAGAGAGCTGACCAATCGCACTCATTTACAGGAAGGTCGTGTCCAGTCTTTGCGTCGGCCTCGCCGAGACGATTAACAAGCTTGGCCCCGCGTTCTTGGAAGGCCGTAAGTTCTATGCCGCTACTCAGAAGCTCGTTGCATGAAACTGACTTTTGTCCAGGCCTCGAGCACTTCGCCAACATCGCTGTCCAGGTCCTCGAGCAGAAGGCGATCTGCCAGCAGGACCCTGATCAGGACGAGTCAGAGGATGCGCCTGAGGACTCGGCTGAGTACGACTCCATCCTCATCTCGTCTGCTGGCGACCTTGTTGCGGCCCTTGCCTCTGCTCTCGGCCCCGACTTCGCGAGCGGCTTCCAGAAGTTCTTCCCCTTGATCTCCAAGTACTACGTAAGTGCTACACATAAGTTGGTACATCGCATGGGTTCTGACTATCTGCTATAGAAGAAGAACCGGTCTCTGAGCGATCGCTCCTCTGCCATTGGCTGTCTC